CCGCGCAATTTGCCGCGCGCCCCCTCGGACGCACGACTTGACACACACCCGTAATCAGTGCTTTCTGCTTCTGTTTCGTAAAGGCCATCATCGATACAGGCCTTGTAGTGGGCATCGGCATAGAATGAAAGTGGGAGCGCGAAAATTTAGTCACGCCGTCGGTCATAACTGATCGGATGTTATGTTGTGAAAAAGAATGTTACATGAGACAGCCAAAGTATCGCCGCTACAACATCCGAATGGGCTGGGTTCACTCCAGCTTGACATAGGGAACTACAATTTTCAAAAACAGTAGTGTTTAGCGATTCTGTTTTGTTGAGACCTAAGGAGTCAGCCGAGGAAACTGAAGATAAAAGCCGATAAATGGGCATTGCTATCGAATTTATGCCATATGGCTGGCATTATGCAATTTATATGAGGAACTTGTAACTCTTTGTCGATCGCATCGACAGCCTACTCAATTGTCAAGTGTTTTTAATCAATCGTAATTGTAACTGTCTCCCCTCCAATCGATCCTATCGAGAGTAATGCGAATGCAATGCGAACGATTGGAAAGAAGAAAGAGCGGTTAGGAAGAAAACGAAGATGATATAAATCATCAATTGAATTCCTGTGCGTGAGGGGGTAGATGAAAACTTCTTCGAGAATGGAAAAAGGATCAAATAGATCAATAGACCAGCAGAAAGTGGACGAAAATTTTTGAAACTTTAAAATTGTTGGGGTACGTCTTTGTCTTCAAAGGCAGCTAAGTATTTTCAGGTATGCTCTCTGAAAGGGCTTAGTTTTCTTTGAAACTGTGTATTAAAGGATTGGATCAACTGACATTTATTGACAATTGAAACAGTAAAGCACAACGAAGTAACTTGATTCGAAAGATTCTTCGGATTTCTGAGATCAACTGGACTTTTCCATGAAGTGCTCGAAGCAGACTCTTAATCTCCATACTCGAAGGCACACTTCAAAATAAAGATATTTCTGAGATCTCCTCCTAAAACGAATCATTGACCTCTATAGGATAGCACAAGGGTCGTTGCCAGGTCAGAAGATGTCTCGACAGGGCGTTATCAGAGCTACAAAACCGGCTTAGCCGACGTGCACACCCAAAGTGGCCGTGTTGTGCCGGCCTTGTTCGAACTGCTATATTCATAAAGTCTTAGGAAACGATGAATAGTGCGCTCATGTGAGAGACACCCAGACGGTTATAAACGGCGATCTCGTACAACCCTTTTTTTAAACATATTTGAAGCCTTTTCTTTCTTGATATCCGCAAACTTTCTGGCTTTCTTCGCCATGGTCTAACCCATTTCTCTTAAACTAAATGCCTCGAGATTATCGGGAACTGTCCCTTTCAACATTCATGTGTTTCTTGAAATGACTATGCTTAATTAGTGAATTTAGCGATTTTTCAATAGAATGACTGCCAACCTATCGCTTCCCGTAGAAAAGCGTCGTTTAAAGGGAATAATATGCTAAATTAATTCAGTTGGCATCACATTAGGTTGACGGCAGTCACACACCTCGCACCGCCTCCGTCTTATGGTTTGTCGGACATCCGAGGATTACTAAAGTTCGAGCTGCTGCGGTCCTCCCTTTGAAAGCCTAACTTGTTGCTATCCCCATTGCCTAGTTGGGATCCGTTTCAGCGAACATTGAAGAATAAAGTTTTTCGGGGTGAACTGATTTTGTTGTGGGATGCGCTCTAGCATTCGACTTCCGTTCAGATTCATTTTGGCAGTTTGAATACGTGTTGCCTTTTGCAATGACTTGTGTTTGCCAACCAATTTACAAGTCAGTGCTTCCATCCTCCTCGACGAGTCTGGTGTCAACTAAGCGACATGGTAGGATGGAATTCTTGGTTGGCCTGGGCAGATGGCGATCCGGAATGCGAACCTCTGACCACATGTAAGTGAAGAGCGACACTTATCACTACACCATCTTCTATTAGACATAATCGCTTGAATCTCCGATTCTCAACATCGATCAGATCAAGCGCTCGCTTTAATGTCATGGCAAAAAAAACTATTCAAAATATGTTCGCGTCTTGATTTCTGTCTTCAGCACCGGAGGCCTACTTCGCACTAATCGAGGAAAAGTTGCTCGAGATGAAGTCCACGAGGCTTGCTGATCTCGCTGGGCAGACATAAAAACAAATCAGGCAGAAGAGTAAGGGTACGGCTCGAAAGTGAGGTTGAGAGAGCGATGCGGCCTCTTTCGTGCTTCTCAATTCCTCAATGTGGGCAATGTAAAAGCTTAAGAGAATTGAGAGGAACTTTCATGACCACTGAGGATCCCGTGAGTGACGTAGAACGTTTTTTGGCTCTTCAGGTCCAGTCATCGGGAACACAATCGAATCGAGTAAGGGGATAACTCGAAAAATGGAAATACTCAACGAAAATTTGGATTAACCCTGGAGTGTGAGTGAAGAATCGGTAAAGATCATGGGAATCTGTCGAAAACAGTTGAAAAACACTTTAGACCCTGAAGACATATAAAAACTGTTGGTATAGCCGGCTGTTACTTAAATTGGGCAGTGAACGACAAAGATGGACATCTCCTGATATCACAGTGATCCCAACCGCCTACATTACATAGTGTTGAACTACGCACTGGTATAGGCAGTAGAAAGAGCACCGAACCTTCTATGCAATACTGAGCGACTCGTTCTGAAGGGCTCCTAGTAAATTTTTTTTAACATTCAAGGAATTTATTTGAAGTAATTCCTTCACTGGCATATTTGGACGATGATGTGGACTGAGGATATGATCAAGTGCTCTTCCCAAACTTTTATATGTGCATTTTTAAGAAGGGGATGGTAGGTCAGGTTACTGAGTACGGGTCACCATCCCAAATCAACAATCGAGCCGCCCGTTTGCGGTTCGATACCAGCTGGCACCCTTCATCTCTTTGATTACTTTAGTTTTCTTTCGATAATTTTTCTTCCTCATTCAATCCCTGATAACTGTAATAATAGCTAACATTTTTGTAGTCATTCATCCTATTATTACTTGACAAAACAGAATGAGGTACAAAGTTTGATGTTGAGTGGTTTGATGTGCCTCGATTTCTTGATATGCCCGAGACAAGAGTAATACCATTTCATCTCTTCATCATTGCTTGCCTCATGTCCTCGCTGCTTGATGTTTAGAAAAAAGAATTCGCAAACACGTCTGAGAGCTTTTCTTTCCCCTACAGGTGTTTGCCTCCGAGAAGATGATCCCTGTGGAATTCGTAGCTGGGCTTTTTTTCTGTCTCTGATCTGAGTTGATCTGATCCTAAGAGGTTAGAACTTGGTCATGGGAAGGTGTGGGTAGTGTTTTTTTGTGGCAGCTTTATTATCGCTGAATCTTTGTCCTTTGTTATATATTTCTTAGAAGCCTCAGCAGCGCTGTGCCTCAAACGCTAAAAGCACGGCATTTCGATCGAACGGTAGCGAGCACAAAACGAGAAAATGATAGGAGTGGGTGCAAACTTGGATTGCAGAATACAGTTATCTAAATGCAACATGAACTGTCTGTTTAAATTAGCGGATGTGAAGGAAGCTCAAAATCCCAATTATCGTAACTGCAGGCAAGCGTAGGCGACCACCTGGATCCCAACATCATTTGTTCCCATGAGCGCTGGTTATTCAGTGTGGCTTGAATCTATTGTTGAATCGATGATTTGCGAAAAAAATCCTGCGTTTTTCCCCTCTCCCTTATCCAATGTCCTTCCCGTTACGTACTCAAGGGTCTGCTCATTGAACTCTGATTTTTGTCATATGGTTCATCGAGAGATGCTGGGCCAGTCCATTATGAGCCATAACCGAGGTTCAAAGTTCAATGTCCATATGAACTCCACCGTTCTGTTCGTGTCAGAGTTCCCATCGATCAATTCTTTCCAATCGCCCCACGTTCATTTCGTTTTTCCTGCTTTGAAATTCAGCATCACTTTGCTTTTCCGCTTCCTACCCAGGAATGAATTGAAGGAATCAACCCGGGCATAAATCAAAACGCAACAATACTCACTTGTATGAACCCGACGGATTGATGCTTGTGATACCCGAAGTGCCTACCAGTGGGGTTCGTACCAATAAACATGATTCCAAAAGTTTTTAAAAGTTTGACCGTCGATTTGCAAGGCCAGTCGAACTCTCGCTCTACTGACCTTGCACAACAGCAATTTGGCGCTTGCTTGCACTTCGAGGGACTTCTGTCTTCAGCCTGGTATCGTACCTTGTACCGTGCAACGAATTCCAGCTGGAAATCTTCCAGTTTTCACATCGTCCCGAATTTTACTGCCTGTTCGTGTTAGTTGAGATTAGCGATATCGTAAGGTGCTACATAGTGTGGCAGATGATCATCTCAAGTAATGCTCAGTGGTAACGACCATAACACCCAATCGATCCCATCTCCAGTTCAGAGTTACTCGTCAATAACCTCCCACGTGCTTCCATTTTGTGGTACCTCCGAGAGCGTTTGGTAGGGAGAACGTGAGGTATATGCTTGTGTGTACTTGCGGATGTGCACGGTACTGTGCGTGGACTCCCTGGTATGTGTACGAACGTGCGTCCGAGGGTGCGCGCGACAAATTGCGCGGCGAAGTTCGTAATGATGTGAACGACTTTGGCGCCTATCATTGAGGCCCAAGTTTGAAGTAGAGTAGATTAGAGGATCATCTGACCCTACTAATTTACACTACTTCGAGTTTGTGCCCCAAAAATTTTCGCCGCAGTCGTACGAATCGTCACGCGCACCCTCGAACGCACGTTCGTACCGTCCCCCGGGGTCCTCGTGAGATGGGTCCGCAGGGCAATGAACGAAAAATATCGCGTCCTATCGATTGGCGGGGAGGCGGGGTGAGTACGGTAATTGCAGTGACATTTGCTGCATGCCGCGAGGGAGAATGGCGCGATCGGGGAGAAGTTCCGTTACCCCCGGACTCCCTAAACCGATCGAGAATAGCAACGCGCAGTGCTTTCACTTCAGCTTCCCGTCTCGAAATGAAGAATGCTGCCAGTCACTTAGGCAGTGAACTGGGGGTAAGGGCTCGTTGGTGAGATTAGGGTTGTGGTACACTTCGATGCGAGACCTGCGCAAGCCACGATAATTTCTAGTTTCATTCTCGCAATTCATCTCTCCGTCTCCAGCATATTTTTTACTTCCGTTTATCGTCTCTGACTCATTCCTTTTCAATCTGTTTCTCCGTTCTGTTCGTAAGGGAAGTTTTACAAAGTAATATAACATGTAGTATAACTCAGTTCCGTACTAACATGGAATGAAAGATTGTAACGACGGGAATTAGTGTACGGTAGCGAGGAGGCGGTCTGTAGAGCTAAGTCATTGGTGGCAGGATTCTAAGGAGAACAGATAGTAGCAGTGACAATGCACTTAATGATGAGAATTATGATCAGAAGTAGAAAATCGAGCCGATCGAACAGCTCGTGACTACGCAAATTTTTTACCAAGCTCATTGGACTGAATGCAGTGAACGGAAAGGAAGTGAATAGACGGAATGGACTTTGCTGGTACTCACTTATCCACTTCTTTGCTCAGGGCTCCCGTTTTCGTCCTTTTCATTCTGTCACATTTCTTCACAATGAACTTGTTGGAACCCTGCAAAAAGAAATTGGTTTATAATTTTGGAACCAGTTCACTATTTTGAAACGTATTTTTGATTTTTGCTTTCGAGCGAAGAACGATTTGATTTTTCTGCATTTGCGAAGAATTCTTCTGACTTACCAGTTCCTATGAAATCCTATACGCTCTTATTCTTTGCTCAATTGGAAAGAAGCTTAGACTAAATTGGCAGAAATTACGCGGAAAACTAGGTAAAAAGTAATCTAATAGAAGTAATCTTTCAGTTTGAACGCCATGTGTACTCCTATAATAGCCTACACTCAGCTCTGCTGTTTCTCCTAAACCGGCATCTCGTTGAACACCTAGAGCTTTGAAGTCAACGGCTACAGAGTAAGCGATTCTGGTATGTCTGTGTTCGGGCTCTTTTCAAGGAGAAATTGTATTTTAAAAATATGGTATTTAGTAGGGTGTCACTCATTATTTTCGTTTGTCGCCGCCTGGTGTAGTTGATATGTTCGGCAGTTTCTGTGACATTCGACTTCAATCACATTCGAGAAAGTTGAATGCGTTTTCTGCATATTGAGCAGACCTATAGCGCCATCCCTGGTACATTCGATGAGGGATCAAAAAGGGCCAAGGCAGTGGCGTATGGTGTCAGAATTCTTCAGAGGATTCAGAAGGGCTTTGCGTTCACCACGTGACTACGATCCTTAATGGGAGTCGCATCGGAGCCGCATCTGAATTAAGGATCGATCAACAGTCGAAGGCTATACCTTATCCTTCTAAATTTTCAACTAGGGATTTGGATGGATGGGTAAGCGCATTAATAGTAAGACTGCTGCCTCTTGGACCATATCAGAAAATTTTGACCGACGAACTCGCTGTGGTCCAGACCTAGCGTTTCGGAAACATAAATGTGTATGAGTTCCTTACGACATAGTGATTTCACATCTTCATAGGTTGCATAGAACCTGACCGTTGATTGCCAGTAAAAGTAAGTTTGTATTTTCAACGAACTAAAGGATTACCGTCATTCCAAGGATCCTCAACATCCATGGCTTGGGTCTCCATCGGCGTGTATTGGCTCTGTGATGCAATGTCAACGTCACGACGGAACAAAGTACTCCTGCAGCTACGACGAATATCTCTGCCAAAATGAAGTTCCCTAAAGAATTCATTGAATAGAAGATTTCGTGGACTTCGAAAGGGACCGTTTAATCAGGAATCATTACCGAGAAGAGGAAATGCGGATGCTTTGGGCATCGAATTGGCAACGATTTCAAGTATGACCGCAGACGAGAGTAACGTAGTCAGACCGAGATTCACCTGAATTCATTACTCACTTTCTCTTCCCTACTCCAAGGTTTCGTGAGTAAAGTGAGAAGTATTACTTGCCTTTTCTTCCCGATCTCCCAATGAATTAGTCGGGATGAACAAACCACATATGGATACGGTAGTTATGACGAATGTGGGAATCAGTAACACCCATACGTAAAACTGAGGACGACGTGACACGTAGAGCTGAATAGACCAAGTGGTGTATCTTGGTTATTGAAAAGTCGGATTTTTTGGAAGTAAAACTCAGGGGCTGGTTTGATGGTCCGGGAAAAGCCCCACCTTCTGAGAACATCGCAGTCTTGAGGAACATGGGTATCTTCTCGAATGTAGTCCACTCTTATGGAATGTTTGGAGGAAACTAAAAGCTAACCGCTTCCCCGGCAACCTAATTCCCAAAAAATCTCCCAGAGACGCTACCGTTACGGGTGAGCAGTATGAGGTTCCC